TTTAGTGCAGTGTACAAATTTGAAAAGAAAACAATTGCATCATTTCTCTTTCCGTACACTGAACTTTATTGGTTTCCATTCTTTCAGCATGAAGATTGTGGATTGGCTGTTTCTCCATAAAGTAATTTTTTTGCCAATTCTGTACTGTTTACATGAAAGTTTTTTTCCCCTGTCTCATCTGGCTGGGCAAAAAAATGTAAGGTTAAACAAAAGAAAATGGAAAATATTTTCGCTGGATGTAGTTGGGAGCGGGAATTTCAGTGTAACCCTTTGCTTCTCTCTGAATAGTAAAAAAACCCAGTTTATCTTCTTTAAAGTTGCATCAAAATGCATTATTTTATTGTTTTAAATCAGCTGTTGTCTACTTTTGTTCTCTGGTGATGTACCATTTTGCTGTTTATTGATTGACGTTTTTCTTGCTTAACGCTGTTACAGGAATTTTTTGATCCCTTCAAAGTCCTTCAAAGCTAATACTTGCACTGGACTTTTGTCGTTATTTTACCATTAGCCGTGATCATCTTTAGTGAAAAGAACTGACTGTGTCAGAAATTCATGACAGCTACCTTGCAAAGGGTTTTTATAACCAGACTGAACACTAGTATGGGCTCCAAAAGAGGCGAGCATGGTTGCTTAACTGCTTGGTTTTGGTTTTAATGCTTTTTTTCCTTGCTGAGTTAAAGTTAATCTTACACATATTACTGACATACATATCTTTTTGTATTTTTTTTTCAATTCTGTAGAATTCTTTGGAATAGGGACAATCTTAGGCAGTGTAATTTAAAGACATTAATAATTTCCTTATCCTGTTTCCTGAATTTAGACTTTGTTTATGATTTTAATCCTCAGTTCATTAAGCCCATTTCTAAAAGAGCAAACTCTGCATGAGATCCAAACTTAGCTTTACACCTGTGTGCTTTTCTGTTACTCATATTTCATCCAGATGCTTCCTTCACATTAGAAAAATACAAAGGAATCTATTGTTGAGAGACTTTGTAGGCTCCATATGCACTAATAAAGGTTTCGAGAGGTTTAGAAAATAGAATGCAGTGTTTGAGAATCAGGAATCTGATTTGCATTAACAAACTTTCTAGTCATACTTATTTAAGTCTCTTTTCATAACTGCTGACACTAGTAGTCCACAAGAGTAATTCCTGCTGTTTAGTTGGAGTGGGATTTTAAGATTAATTTAGGACAAAGGTGAGTATTTGGAGAGAGAAATTACAGTAGTTTTTATTTTACTGCCTTTTTTTTCATGGATTTAGCACAATTTCCACTGAGTTACAAACTATTTACCAAACAGTTGCTAAATAAATCTCCCAGTGAGACATGGATGAAACTCTATAGCACTAATGTCTCGATTCACATCAATGAGACGTGTGGTGTGCTGACCATCTGTTATATAAACCTGAATAGGATCTGAAATCCTTACACCAAAGACCTGATTTTTTTATGCCATCGCTTTTATGAAGGTGTGCCATAAAAATGGCCATGTGCTGGCAACCTGTGCAACTGGACCCTTTTAAATCTGTGTAAAAGTGATGACATTCCAAGCATCTCAGCATCTCTTAAAATTAAAACAGCTAATTGCATTAAAGTCTGTGTGTTGAAGAGATTATGCTCTTGCTTAGGGTTTGTTTTCCCCCCCTCCCCATCTGTAAGATCCCTAATGGGATCCACATCTGTGAGAGCAACAGCGCGCACGACAGACTGCCTCGCGATTGGCAAGCCAAGTGGAAGGAACACTGAGACCCACAAGGATTGCTGGACCCGGAGGGCTTTCAGCTTGTGAGAACAACGAGCTAATTAAAGTCTAAATAAATGGAATGCCCTTCTAACTGAAGTAAAGATAAATAAATAAATGCTTGCATGTTGTTCCAGAGGAATGAATAAAGACAGAAATATTTGTGTCGTGTTTATCTAGTAACGTCTCTTTAATTGTGAAAGGGGCCGCCAGCAGACTTGGTGAATGTATGTCCAGTTCCTGATTTCTTTTTAGTCTGTTGTTTTAATAGGAGAGGTTTAACAAAGGTAATAAAAAGTATGTTTTTATATATTTTTCACTTACTATTTAAAGTTTAAAAAACCTTGGTGAGTATTTTTAACATGTCTTCTTAGCTGCTGCTTCCTTGTCACTGGCAAGTTCTGCCTCTGCTCCCATGCCAGTGCTTCACAGGCAGATGACATTAAAGGAGCAGTATGCTTTTTTTGCAGACCAGTGATATGGTATATGCTACTGATAGGTTGCTTCAGTTCTTCTTCAGTTAACTAATAGCATCTTAGCCTTCCCATCCTTATATAGGGTCAGTAAGAAAAGAAATAGGGCCACTTAAACATCGATATGAGATCAATTTTTTTTTTTAATTGCCTTTCATTTTTTTACAGGTCACTTTTTTCAGTTTGTTAGATGAAACCTAGGTAAAATACATATTTAAGGAGTTATGCCTAAAACATATTTAGGATTAAATTTAATTTCAATCATGTGTAGACCATCAAGATTATTTGTATTTAAATTGAAACCTTGCTAAAGCATTTTGTTAAAATGGGCCCTTGAAGGTGTCTGTTTTTGGAAGGACTGAGCAGTTCTCAGGTAAACCTTGTTTTAAGGTCCTTGAAAAGTTAGGTCCTCAAATAGAAATTTGAGTCTCTCTAGGCATACATTCTGAAAAGATGGGGCCACCAAGTTAGGTCTCGATTTTCCCATCTCCCATATTCACAGATGAAAGCAAAGGGTGCAAAATTCTGTAAAGAGACTATCAGGCTGCTAAAGAAAGCTGCAGTGGTGTGCAGTCAGTGGCTTTGACCTAACATGTACTGAGAAGTGCAATCTCACCATTTAAAATGCAAAAAATTTTAAAAGTAGCTGTTTAGTAATCTTTTGAAAATCTAACACTAATCTTTTTGTGTTTATACCCCTTAAATGTTGTAGTGATTAATTCCTGATTGTAGAAGTAATAAATATTAAAAATAATTAAATGGTAATTCCTTGAAGAAAATACTGTGGAGTGATAAAATAAGTATGAAATTGGATGCCTGGTCTAGGAAAACAAACAAACACAGTCGAATGAGTAGAGAAAACATATTTTTCTGCTTATTTTACAAGCAGGACTGTAAAGGAAACAATTCTCCCATTACATGTGAATAAAAATAGTGTTTCAGAGTGACTTCTCCAGACATGAGAACTCCTAGCATTTTTCCATTACCTTCATCCACATCTGCTCATTTGTTCAAAAATGAACCAGAGGTAAGTTTTTACTGAGGCGTCCTGTAAAGTTTAGCACAGGAATAGCACATACACAAACAAGGGCAGGAATATCTTAGCAAACTGCATAAAATCAGTCAGTGCTCACTTCTGTTGTCAAGAGGCAGTCCAAAAACTGATTAAGGCATTTTTTAATTCTGGTCAAAGCTCAGAAGAAATGCTTGACTGGATGAATATAGTGAGCTGATGTTGATTAAAAGGAAAAAAGGGCAAAGAATCTCTTGGTAGATGGGATGTGCAAGCTCTCAAGATTATTTAGTGAAAAATAGGCCAAGTTCAGGCTTTGTCTGATTATCTGAGCTTAATCTAATATGGGAGAAATGAGAAGTTATTCTGTTCAAATGAACTCAGCATACTGGCCAGCTTTTAAGTCTGCTGACTGTCCTCTCCCTGGCTCCGTACTCGGCAAAGATCCCGGCTGCTGCATCTTTGGTTGCTCTTGCTCCAGCCATCTGCTGTGTTCTGCAGCGGCAAATGAGAAAAACCATTCCAAAGTAGCTGTATTTAATTTGCCAAAGTGGATTGGCACTCTATGGGCATCTAAAAACCTTACAAACACTGATAAGGAAGTGATAGTGTTAGTTACATGCACTACAGCCTGCAATTTATGTAATATATAGATTGAAGGAAATAATGAAATACTGCAGCACTTTGTAACCTTTCAGCATGTGAATTATGTGAACTCAAGAACATTTTAGTTTTGAAAATCCTGTGAATATTTTTACCTTATGTTGCAACACGAGGACCTGAGGAAACGCTCGGTTTGGCTGTAAGTTTGAAGAGCCATCGTTACATTTGTAGCTGCTTCTGATTTCTTCTGAAGATGGGAGAATCCCGAAGGTGTGTTAGTATAATTCTTACGCACCACAGAATAAAAGTTCTGGGTGAAATCCAGTCCATCCCATATGTCTGTGTAGTATCACCCATCTAGATGCATGGTAAAACATTTTTCCTAAAGTACATGCTTAGAGTCTGTAGTTAACTGATAGACATTGATAGGTGTTTTGGAAAGCTTCCCTGGTGAGATTCTGCCTCCAATACTTCTGGTAGCCAAGGTGGGTGCCTACAAGTCTCCTTCTAGATACTATAGAAATACTGTCCTCCCCCCATTAACTGTACAAACTCAGACAGTTGCATTTCAAGTACTTAAAACAGAAGTACAGAGTCACGCCTGAAGTGAACTACACCCAGTCAAATGCTTTTTTTCGAAAGACCAATCATTGTTCACCCTGACATTTTATTTTATCCATACATTACAATAATGATTTCTCCCTTCTAGAACACAACTGGAGAGGATTTCTCCAGAGGGAGGTTTGTATAAGTGAGGAATTCTGCGCATAACAAAACCAATTATGGACGGTTTTGCCTCTAGTGCTTGCTGGGTTAACAGGGCCTCTGAGAACACAGTCTCCTGCCTGCAGAGGGCATACACGTCCTCAGTTTTCCCTGCCAAAATGTATGTGGAATAGGGAGAAACTAGTGAAGCATACATCAAAGTGTTCTTGTACACTGCTGCGCATGATGTATCAGGGATATCTCCATGTACGTGGGGGTACCAAAAGTAATTTTGGAGGAAAAATTGGATTCTTCCCAAGCATTCCCATATCCCTCCACCAAAGTAAATTGATACTTTACATTGTGAACACTGAAGCCTCTCTGGGACATGTGTCCAGCAGAAACATGCTGGGGGTACTCATGTTTCTTAAAAATCATCTGTTTTCATTTGTGTCTCCATTTCCAGAGCTCCCAACACAGTGGCTCCTCTACCTCATTAGCATCCACCAAAGTTTGCAGCTCTATGGATGAAAATGATGGACCTGCAGAAGGTAACATTTGGAGGCTGACATTTCAAAGCAGTCAGTGTAGTGATAACAGCAGCTGTGTAGGAAATGAGTCATTCTTCCTGTCGGAGAAGGTGGGAGCGTTGCAGGCTGGATGACTTTTCATGAGGAGGCTCCTCAGCTGTAGCAAACCACTTAGGTTCGCTCTGGATCAGATTTGATCTGGACATCACTCTTCAGAGGTATTTTTGTTGCAGAATGCTCGAGATGTTATTTCTGCAAGCAACACAGTGCTGGCTGGCTTATTTCAGTATTTTTGTCTCATCTATCATGGTATTAAAGAACACACGGTCCTAGGTCTTTACTCAGAAATGGAGTCTTACCCCATACTAAGGCTTTGAGCAAGTTGGCTAAGGGATAGTGTCTGCTTGAGCACTATGCACATATACATATATGTATGTGTGTGTATTCCTGTTTGAGAATTGCTCTTCATGCTATCTGTGAATTCAGGCAAAACCCGGCCTCCTTGTGTCATAACATTCACTTTTAATACTAAGCTGCAACAAAGGACAGAGAAAGATACAGTTAAAAGCACTATCTTAAAGAGTGTAAACATAGATCACATTTCTGAGAGACATTTTTTTTACATTACAGTATTTATATAGTAGTTTGTATCAGCTGCAGTTTACAGTCAGCTTTTAGAAGCATGTTAGGTATTTGTAACACTATTTCAAATACCTTTAAAAATAATGGTACAGGAATGAGCACTAAAACACGTTAAACTACAAACTTTTTGTATGCTTAGACACCGTGTAATGCAATTTTACCTAAACATCTGGTACCCAGGTTGCATGCAAGGTAGTATTATTGAGAACATTTGTTTAAAAACTAAATATTTAATATTGGGGGATGGGGAGAACTAGCACTTAGCACATGAGGAGTTTTATGGATGTCTCAGTTTACAGGATGTAATAAAATAAGTGCTTGAGTGTTGGACTTCTTTGGTACATATATTTAATCATGCTGTGTCAAGGAGTTCCAGCCCTTTTTGGAGGTTGGTCTGCGCTTGTGCAGATCACAACGGCCTTTTCATAATTAAAAAAATACAACTTTGGTTTTGTCTTGGGGGCATATTGCAATGGGAATGGTAAACTATGTAACACTCGAATGGTGGTATGTTTGAGCCCCCAGAAGTCTTATTTTTCATTATTGTATCTGCGTGAAACCTGTTGAGTATATACAATGTCAGCAGCATGGTTTCACTGTACAGTAAGTGAGACACTGACTGAATGGTTTCCAGGCTCCTGAACCATGGACTTGAAATACATGTTATGTGCAACATCTGTGTTTCCTTCACTAACAATAAAAATGTACTAATGATTCTTTCAGAAGTGTTGGAGGAAGGCTTCCAGGTTCCAGCATCGATAGCAGAGCGATATAAAGTTGGAAGGACTATAGGAGATGGAAATTTTGCTGTTGTGAAGGAGTGTATAGAAAGGTGAGGAGGATAATATGCTTATTACTGCAAAAAAATAATCATTAATGTCATGCTTTTTCTAGATCATGTCTTTATTTGTAGAATATAAACATGTAATAAGGTAACGTCTCAATGCCAGATGGAAAAACTTTGTGTCCTCTCATATGAAAAAAGAGTGAGTTCAAGGGGCAATCTATGAATTTAATTCTTTGTGGGGTTTATATCTTTTGGGGGTTTTTGCTGCACTCCACATGATTTTACCAGTTCTTTTTGTTAAATCTTTTTTGGTGCACTTTTCTTGCAGTATGTTCTTGCAAGTCTCCTTTTACATTAGACCAGTGGAACATTTCACATGTAGGGGCATCCTGTAAAGATGTCAGGAAGTTTTGGTGTGTGATGTAATGATGATGGTCAGCACAAAGAACTGACCTTGGATCCATCTATTCTGCCATCTGACACTGAGGATTAATCTCTTTCATGTTTATTGTTAATTAAATGGACATCTAATTCCTGGTTGCCTGCTTTGTACCATTATATATGCTCCTTCCAACTTTTATGAGCTTCACTGCAGACACCAGAATCTAACTTCTTCAATGACCTTTACTGTTAAGAGGTGAGAACAGTCACTGATTTTAGACATCTACTCCAGACTAGAGAAGTCACAAGTCTCCTTAAATATCAGTGTTGCTGAAAATGTCCAGGTTGACTAGTTCAGGTGTCTGTTTCTAAATCTGTTCGGGTTTAAGTTGGCTGTACCCAATCTTAAGAGTGTAAAAAACAGGGAACAAGAACTAAGCAGAACTGTGGGTGCCTTTTAGTGGTATTGTTAAAAATGGGAGAATATGGGATATAAAAGACAGAAGGTATTTCACCTGTATGTGAAATGTTTGTAAGATTGCTTATGTTAGATAGTAACAGTGCAGAAAAGCAAAAAGCTGCCAGAGGTGGAGATGTCCAAAAGAGAGAACAATAGACATGTCAAGGTTTGATAATGAAATTTCATTTAATTTCATTTAAGTTTTCCACCCCCTTTTATCATATCCTAGAGAGAACACTCTTACAGAATACCGTAACCTCACCTTTGGGCTCAAAGAAAGAACTTTTGTTCTTTGTCCTATAAGAATATTATATTAGCCCTAGAGAGTCAGATTAGATCTCCTGGCAGATGATGATAAATTAGCTTGACTGGTTTTAAACTAGTCTCCTTGGAAAAAGACAGGTCCTGCTCTGCATCTGAAAGTGTCTAGCAAATCAGAGACCATGAAGACAGCTGCTGGGGAAAAGAAGAGTGGATTTTGTATCAGCTGACAGTGTGCTTGTGGGATTTGGCCAAAGCTCTGGTGAGGCCTTTAGAGCTCTGCCAGAGTGAGTTCATGGTGGAGCTGGCCATCCAGAGGGCAGTAGCTGTTCAGATCAAACCCCAGGGTCTCAACACAAAACTGGAGAATATGGAAACCTAAAGGAAGCAAAGCAAAAAATATGAAAACAAGAAAGCACTGTAAAACCCTATGGAGGACCACGACTGATGAAAAGGATAGGTGAAAACACATAACTAAGAAAAGAGAAAAAGGCAGCTGAAGGTAAAGTGAATAGTAACTGAGAGAAATGAAAATTACAAATGAAAATAAAGAAAGGTTGTGGTTTTGACACTGTCATTCAGCTAAAAATGCCATTCGTGCTGAGAGACAGTACAAATCTGCTAGTGTGCGTTTTACAATTTTTTCCCAAGCTGAGAGAAAATACATGAACAAAATTAAATATAGGTCTTGACACACCTAAAAATAATAATTATTACAATATACTTGAGAGCTTGAATGAAAACTGTTTCCTGTCCTCTTGTCTATCCCACTGGTCCCAGAAGTATCTGGTAGCATAGCATATCTAATGAGTATGTGCTCAAATAGCATGATTACCCAAGTATTCCCAGATACATTGTCTTGTGGTCTCTGAGTTATACCATTCCGTAGATTCCATTTATATCAGAGAGCTACTACTTTGGCAAAGCTTGAAAACTGAAGTGGAATTATTTCTGTTGGTTTCCACTTCTAAATCAGTATACCCTTGCCATCACAAGTGTGGAAGGAGAATTAAAGACTCAGAGAGTAAATTAAAGCCAGTACGTGTGAAACCCCTTCAAAAACATTCTTTGCAGTCTTTCTGAGCAAAAACCACCTCACTTCAAAGTCTGATATGTCCATCATTTGCAGAGCAAGAATTGATGGGGTGATACTTGGGATAGAGGACCTTTCCACTTTCTTCTGAAGTACAATTCCTGTGTGCAAAGACTTCAAAGGAATAGCACCATGAGGTGTTAAGCAAGTAGGAATGGGTCTTGTTACACAACTTCACTGGTCATGTGGATACTTCTTCTCCATAGCTCTGAGATCATTCTGTGTGCACTGGTTAACAACTCCAGCACTTCAATACATTCACAGGCATTTTCCTCTGCCAATGAACAGTTCAAATAGAAACCAAAACCATATTCAAAATTTTCATGCGAGGACTTCTAAATCTCATTCAGAGCATCTGTCAGCGCACAGGCACACATACAAAAATACATTTAATGCATGCACAAAAATAACAAAGATTTTTTTCTACAGTGCAACGGAAATCGCTGTGAACTTTGCAAAAGTTTAAAAGAGCCAGGTATCGAGCCCTCGTATGGACTAGAGATTTAACTCTGTGCCCTGCGGTAGTTCAGTGGGTCCAGACTTCTGTCCAGCCATAACGTGTTGCCTACTTTTTGTGGTACCTTTTTATTGTTTGGAGTGAGCAATAGGTGAGATGTGAAATGCATGTTTCATGGTTGAGTTTCTGGCATAGCTGTGCATATTTTTTGGCGATGTGTAAGTTGCAGTGATGCTGACAGCCTGCAGTTCTGCAGCTTTTTAGGGAAGAGGATTTGCATTATCTTAGCTTTAATTTCTTTTTACCAAAACACAGAGCAGTCAAGGTTGTCATCTGCTTGTTACATTTATGCTCCATCGTATGCACAATTTGTCCTGCGGTGTTTTTATATGTGTTCATTTTTAACTTTCAGATACTTCCAAATTCTGACATTTCCTCACAAGCTCAGGTTTCCCAATATTTTGGAGTACATGGAGTCTCCTATGGCCAACAAAAAACATCAATTTCCTTACTCATGACAGAAAGGAAGCATTCCTAGGGCAACCAAGCAGCTTGAAAGAGACTCCTATTGAAAGAGGCTATATTTTTTCTGAGTTTGAACCCCAAATATCTTAATTTCTAGTATTTCTTGTTCTATCCACTCCTTCTAGTCCCCAAAAATAATGTCCAGAACTCTTCCTGTTCCCTCACTGAGCTTTGACTGTAGTCACTGAACAGCAGCACTGGAAAAGGGCACCCTGCATGGAGTGTGACCCATTTCAGAGGGCTGTAGCATTAAACCCCTTTGTGGGGAAGTACAGATATGAGAAGTTTTTAATTTTTCTTTGCGTAAATCTTGAACAGACGTTGTACTTTTTTTTCCCAAGTCATAAACTTATTTATACTGCATGATTTCTTTGGATAGCCTTTTAACAGATGTCCTAATAAAGACCGTCTTTGCTCTCTGCTGACCTGAGAACTAAAGCAGAATTAATATTTTGGGGTTTTCTTTGCTTTTTACTGAACTACCCATTTTTTCTTAAATTAACAGCTAGTGATACATCATTGCCAGAGGAGTTCTTCATGTTTTAATATGGCAATGAAAATGCCCAGTTGATTTCCAGATACAGTGCTTTCAGTCACTCACTTTGCATGTCCTATTTGACAGACTGAGCACACTTTTAGACACATTAATTTCTCTGTTTAACATACTATGTGTCAATTTAATGTATTGGTTTAACTATGTTTTGTGAAATGAAGAATGGAAAAATGACCCTGTATTCTTGAAAGGTTATCTTTCGTTATTTTTAATCAAACATAAGCCTAAGGGCAATGTAATAGACTTTTTTAAGCTATTTAGGTTCTTATTAAAAAATGAAAATGTTTCAGTAAGATCTTTTTCTTATATTACCCATTCTCCATTTAATCTTACAGTGAAAGTAGGGCTTGTGAACAGAGCTTCTTGTTTTCTTTGTTATAATCGTCTTTCAGTTTTGTAACTTGATTAAGAAATGGAAGTTGATACTGTTAGCTTGTCTAGAAGCTAATTTCTTTTTACGTTAGCATTCTATATAATAGATATCTACATATATGTGGTAGTGATAAATATAAGGTTTCAAAAGAACACAATGCTTAAAAGGAAATGTGTTCTTATCCTGAACTAATTTCTCTGTAATTTTTTACTGTCTCCCCAATCTTTCACATTCTATCCTAAAACCCAGCATATTTAACTGAATACATAAAACATTAATCCAAGGACCGACATTTTTATCGTAGCAGTTGTGAGTGCAGATGTGCAAACAAATGACTTCTTTTCATTTTAAGTAAAAAGTAAGTAAGTATTTTTGATGGGTTATATTTTTTGTATAATAGAAAAAAAATCTTTTTTGTTTTGAAAATATCTGGATCTGTGGACAATATATGGTGTTTTTACATAAAAATCAGAATACTATTACAAAATTTAAAAAAAAGCAAGTGATTTTTGTTTTGAAAACATTGCAATCTCTTTATTTAAAAAAAAAAGTTTGATTTTTTTTCCTCAGGCACACATATTCAACTACTTTGGCTCAAGTTCACAATACCAATCGAATCTAAGCTTTATTTCTTGAAAAAAGTGAATACTTGAATAGAATTCTTCACTAGACTTATTGTACTCAAATGACAAGTATAAACTTGACTGAGAAAAATATTCAATGTGATTGAACATAAAATTTTTTTCTTTTATCTTTCCTCAGATCAACTGGTAGAGAATATGCTCTGAAAATAATCAAAAAGAGTAAATGTAGAGGAAAAGTGAGTACAAAAAAACATTTGAGACCAAAAGATTTTTTTTTCCAAGAAATGTTTTGTGAGAGATCAGTTTGGGAAACTGTTGGTATTTGTCTCCTTCCTGACAACTATTAGAATCTTTTTGATTGAAGCTTTTGCCTGCCCTCTGGAGACTCTTGAAATTAGTATAAAAGGCTGTTGTATGACTTTCCAGATGCATGTGTTGATTCTTCAACTGGTTGGTTGTGTGTGATTCTTTGCTCTTTACCCTATAATTATGTCCTCTAATTTTCCTAATTCCACGTTATAGAAAACAGAATAATAATATGAATAATTATAACAACACCAGTCACTGTGTCTGAAGAGTGGGTTAATCAAAGTAATGTCAGTTTTATACCAAGTGACTGTTAGCTTTTGAAATCTGTAACAAAAAGTTCTCTGAGAAGATGCTATCATATTGTTATATCAAAAGATTCTGGATCAGAGAAAATTTTAAAAGCTCCCATATTTAATTTTTCTCTGCATCAGAAACATCTAATTTCCTCCATTTCTTTTTCTATGTTCCACTCTCTCTTCTTTCAGTTACCACACTGATATTGTTTCTAGACATGTTCCTTCTGTATTGCTGGAGGCAACATGTTAGGTTTTTCAAAAACCCTGAAGAATTCACACAGGGCCCATTCTCTCTGCTTTTTCCACTATCAACTTTTTTCCCACCAACTGGTAGTCATTACAGATTTTTTTGTGTGGCAGGAACACATGATCCAGAATGAGGTATCTATTTTAAGACGAGTCAAGCATCCCAATATTGTACTTCTAATTGAGGAGATGGACATGCCAACTGAGTTGTACCTTGTCATGGAACTTGTAAAGGTGAGTGTTTTGGAGACAAGTTGCTTATGAATTGTTTTAATCATATTGAGAAATTCCATTGGTACCAAGGCTTACTAAAAAACATGGGGTCATAGAATAATTCAGAGTGGAAAGGGTCTCTGGAGGTAGTCTAACATACTACTGAAAGATGTATAACCCACTGTCAGATTTTTTTTTTTTAGTTTTTGAATATTTAAAATATTTGTCTAACTTGCTGTAAGCCACATTTGGAAGTGCGCTGTGGACAGTACTTTGGGGATCACCAGTTTTATTTGCTTGCTCAGAAGAAGTCTCTTTAAAAAGTAATAGTCTACCTTGAAATGAATTGAAAATACACCCAGTCCAAAGAGCCATAAATACCAGCATTAAAAATAAAAAATTCTTTGATAAAAAAATTAAATTAGTTTTTATAATTTATGTTAAATATAAACAATATTACGTCTTTTTTCTCTGCTGATTTATATTAACACAGTGTCAGTCTTGCCTCCTTGATAGCAATCTAAATTTAAACTCAAGTAAGGCAGAAGTGAAAGAGAAAAGCCTGCTATGTAAAGCATAGTTGTATTCTGAAAAGTAAATTTTGGAATGCAGTATTTTATATTTTGGACCCCATTTATTTCTTCATAGTAACTTCCAGATCTCATGCATTTATTTCACTCTCTGGTAGAATTATATATTCAAACTCAATTATGAAGCTCAGACCATGTCATCTTTTGCCCCCATAATGTCAACAGTGCAGTGCAACAAGTATGAGTTTAGCTTTCATTTCTGGTACTAATACACAAGTATGTCCCTGTGCACAAAAGGTGGTAAAAATACATTTGCACAAGCTCTGCAAATTAGAACAGAAAACTACTGAGGATGTCTTGTCCTCCATGTGTACTTTAACAGGATACACCTGTTTTTCCCATTCACTAGTGGGATTTGTGATTCTCCTTTCTTCCTCAACTGTTTTGTGGGAAGGACATCTTTTCAGCAGCCATCTCCATTTCTGTATCCTGGTCAGCACATTCTCCAGGGGCAGCCTACAACTGGGAAATCCACAATTTTAAGTGTTTAAGAACAAATACGAGAATAAAGTTGTGCAGCAGCAGCATTTGTGTGCAGGTCTGTTGTGTGTGCATGCTCAACACATGAGCAAATTGGGCACTCTGAACCCTGTCACCCAGATCACTCCACTCAGAGTGTGGTCCTCTTCAGTGGGCATCTTCTGTATCCATGGCTGGAAACAGGCACCATCAGGGGTCATGAGACAAAGCGATTTTTGGCGAGCAAGACTATAATCTCCTTTGCTCTGATTGTAGATGGAGATAAGGGGATGCTCTTAATGTAGTCACCTCATTGGGATTTTACATAGGATAATCCCAGGTACAAGTGTTTCTTAAAGAACTTCTCAATTTCTGGTCTGGAATATGAGAGCAAGTTGAATGACAAGTTTTTTTGTTTTGTTCCATTGTCTCCTATGCTTTGTGGCAGCACCAGTGACACAAGCCATGTTCCCAGTCCAGAGCTGGGAGACTGACAAGTATGGCTCATGGGTGGATGGCCATAGATTTTCCCTGTCCTTGTGGCAGTCTGAGACAGTCTTGTTATTTATGAGGGGCTCAGGCCATGCCCCAAAGCTGAGGAGATGGCAACATTGTCCTCTTAGGTCTGAGCCTGACAGACGCCCCACTTTGCTTGAGTGGTGCTGTGGACCTTATGGTCCCACTAACCCTATTGTCCACCACCTCCAAGCTCTGAGAAAGCACACTGGGAGATGCTGATGGCAAGGAGCATACCTGTTTTTTCTCTAATGGAGAGGTTACATCCTAAGAAAAAAAAAAATTACTGACACTTTTTCCCACTATGAATCCCTCTGTGTAACCAGTCCCACAATCATTTTCCCACTCCCTTCACAATCACAGCCCTCTCTCACGCTTAGGCATGCAATGTGAAATAGTGCAGCCTGAGGTCAGATACTATTAGCCATCTAACACTATTTTAATCATAATTACTGCTCTATTCCGTGATAAGTGAGCTCACTGTGAGATCCATGCTACTGTAGTTTTTTCCCAGTGTCCATGAGAGCTTGTTCAAAGGTACCTCAATCCTTTTACATAGTATTGTAATCTAATGTAGCCACAGCTTCAGCCTGCATTGACAAATCCTTCATCTTGGCCCCAGGAGGTGTGCTAAGAAGTAAAAGCTGTGCCTTGTCTAACCTGCCAAGATAGTAAGCACATAGCTGGTTTTATGGGTGCATCCTGCTGTGCTATTCATGGTTGAAAAATGTGCAAACTGTAGTATCCAATGGCTTTTTAGTCGAAGTCCTACTCAGCTAAATGAGAGAGGAGGGGACTGACAACTCTTAGAAAATAACTAGTTAAAAAGATGTATATAAAGAAAACCATGCATTATATTCACTTTCTGGAAAAATCTGTTTTCTTGTGCTGTTTCTTCTTTACTCTTCAAGATTGCTGCACATGCTAAGATATTTATGCTTTTAGCTGTGCTATGGAAGGGCTTTATAGACATCTCTGTACTTCTGGTATCCTAGAGAGCACTGTTTTCATATTCTTTATTTTTATGTGGAATAATAGAAGAAATTTAGAAGAAATGTCCTGCTTCTTGAAAGTCAACTTTGTTTCTTTGAAGCAAGAACCTATTCCTCAATATTTAATTGGGAAAAAAAAGACTCTATGGGCACCAGGGAAGGTATTTCTGGAAGGACATTAATTGTTAATTCACCAATTGCTGATTGTTACCATTTCATAGTGTGCACTGTTAGAATTGATTAACCATCTGTTATTGACTGACTTTTGAAGACCTGACTTTAAATCAAACTCACAGACAGGAAAGAAAGGCAAGCAGAAAAGGCTTGATGCTGCAGAGCCCGGTTTCAGTTAATACCACCCTGCATTAATTGGCAGTAACATGTTTGACATAAGTGGCTGCTGAAAATCCTGCCCTCACCTCATGGCAGATAGGCCATTCATGGCTTTGTAAAGTGTAAGAAAAAGCACTTCATAAATACAAATATAAACACATTGCAAGTGGTGCTTGTAAAAGGAAGCAAAGACCTGGTTTCTGGCAAGTTGCCTTTTTACACAGAGAAACAAAATTGTTATTCAAACCTAACAGGGGTTTGGCCAATTTAAGAAGCAAGATTTATTGCAGAGTTTCCTTTACTACTCCAGGATATGATTTCACTTTTGCAGAAGAAAAAGAGAGATCATATCATTTACATAGCAAGGTAATAAATAAATAATTGGTTACTGTATTTCCAAGTACACTTCCTCATGTGCACAGATGACAAAAACTGCATTCAGATGTTCCTGGTTCCGTTTCACTCCTGAACAGGGGATTTAAGACTGAAATGTCATCCTGAACTCACCCCTTGTGCCTGAATAAATGATAGTGACCTGCTGTGTGAATCGGCTTAGCAGAACCTTGCAGGTTGAAGTGCTCTTTGGGGAGAAGAAAGTCTGAAAACAATTCTGCCTGATATAGCTGTCAGCTCTGTTAACTCTTTCCAGGATATCATCTCTCTTTTAACCACACAGAGAATCCAACAGACTAAATACATGCTCTCTGTTCTTATCAGGCTACCTGGTAAGAAACTTTACCGAGTACAGTAGACTGCTTAAATGGAGAAAATTATTCTGCTTCAGATTGGCTTGACCATCTGTTAAATTGCTCTGGTGCCTCTGTCTTTTTCTGAGTTTATGTTTCTTCTGTGCATGAACATTTGCTTCTTTTCTTCTAACTTCAAGCCAAAATCTTTCCTTCTCTTTTTAAGGTTCAGCTTCTTTCCTTCTTGCCTCTTATATCTCAGCTTGGACTATATTCTTTCTTTTGAGGCAGATGTTTTGCTGAAGTTACTGACACTTCTCCTGAGCATCTGGAACATATTAGATAAGACCAAAGATCTGTCTAATCCACTACCTCATGTTAAAAAGCAGCTGGTACAGGGGTTTCACAGGAAGGAGCTTAGGGAAGATAGATTATTTATCTCACATACTTTCCCACATGCTGATGTCTAATACTTAGGGATCAGATAATGCCATGAAGTACATGGTATTGTACTTTTGCCAAATATTTGCTCACTCTCTCTCTCTCTCTCTAATCCTCTATCTGGTTTAGTACGGCCTTTTGTTCTTCCTTTTCCTTGACACTGTATCTTGATGTGTCTTGAACAGTCACCAGCCAGAGTAAGAGGTTTGATGTGGTCCAGATTTGACAATGGTTGGCTGTAAGAAGTTTCCAAAGAGCTGGGGTTTTGCATCTACAATGGGAATAAACCTGTCCTGGCATACTTCAGCTGCACCTCAACGATGCAAAAATTTTAATAGTTTGTTGGGTTTTTTTATAACAAGTAAAGTCTGTTTTATCAGATTTGAGTCTTTGGTGGTTCTCTTTTCCTACCCTTTTCTCTGTTGCCGTGATTCCTGGAAAAATTCTTTTTTTTTTTCCCCCTCATCCTTTCTCTTTGTGGAAAAAGTGTTTACTCTGGAGCTGAGCCTTAAAAAAACCAATCCTCAAATAATCTTGAGGCTGTTGATAAAATCGTGAGAGTTGGAAAAGCTGGGACTCCTCTGCTGCCTTCAGAAAAACCTACATGTTCTTCAAAATACAGTCTCCTGTGGGTTTTTTTCTTGACATTTTGACTGCAGTAGGGATTTTTTTGCATTGTTTTTGCAGAATTATCCTTTTCCTCTTTGTTGTTGTTGTTGCTGTTATTGTTGTTGGACTGTGTTTTCTTTATGGTTCTGCTTTGATTTTGGCTAGAGGCTCAATACCTTTGAGTAGTCTCTCTCAAAAGATGATTGGGTTTTCCTCCACTCTGTCAAGCTTCCTTCTTAATCCCATTTTTAAACTTACAGTTTTGTCTCACATACTCTTCTTCCCACTTGCTGGCTCATCTCTGGAAATACAGTCCAAATGTTATGGTTGCCTCAGATCCCGGTGAAGATAATTTCAACTTTGAGGATTTCTGCTTAACTTTTTTTCTTTTCTTTTCTTCTTTCCTTTTTTCTCTCTATTTTTTTCTTGTTTTTTCTTTCACTGGCAGTACCTTCTAGCTGAATTAGGCAGCGTGATGAGCTGGTAATTGCACAAGCTACCCCTCTGTGTCTTCCAGTGCCTGACATACATGCTGTAAAGTTCTTCAGAATTAGCTACAAGAGGCATTACACTACCAAAAACTTCACGTTTTGTGTAGAGAAAGTGCTGGTTTCTAAAATTCATGATTTCAAAGATTTCTGAGATGAAAAAAGACGATAGCAGTGAGGACAGGTAGCTAATTTCAGTTTTACTCAGAGTTCCTTCATCTTTCTGGGGTTCAGTCAGGCACTGGGCAAAAATTTGATATCAGTCTGTTTGTGATTATAATAAAGAGTGGAAAGAGTTGGTACATGGCATCATGACAAGCAAGTATGTAGTCTTGCCAGAAATTTGTAACAGAGGCTCTGAACACACAGGTTGGCAAGTGCTGGACATGTTACAAAAGCAGCAGCAGGTGGGAACAGTTTGCAATAGAGACTCCAGCCTCTTGGCTGACCAACTCAGCCATAACGAAAGGTTCTGACTTACTGATCTGCTCAGCTGACATAATGGAGGATGTAATCACAATACCCCTAGTTTATAGCTGCAAGGAAAACTGTGCTGCTTCTCTCTTTTCCTCCTCCTCTTCCTCCTCCTCCTCTTTCTTCTTCTCCTCCTCTATAAATTATGTTCCTTGATTTTCCCTAAATATTTTCGTTATTTCATAAGCAGTATTGCTCATATCTTGTGGTAATTTTGCTCCAGGGAGGAGATCTTTTTGATGCTATTACTTCCACCAACAAATACACAGAGCGGGATGCCAGTGGAATGCTTTACAATCTCGCCAGTGCCATCAAATATCTTCACAGCCTGAACATTGTCCACAGGGATATCAAGCCGGAGAATCTACTGGTAAGTAAAGATTCAGCTTTCAGTATTGTTGATAACTTGGGAGTGTGTGAGAGAACTTCTTCCTCCTTCCACACATCCACTCAGTTTATTTCAATGTTTTAAGTAACTGGTTTTTTTAATTTTAACCTTTGCATTGTAAAGCTCTTCTAAGAATAACAGCTATAATTAACAGTAATATAAGGTGGTATGTCTAGACTGTTATGTGGGACACAGCAGCAAAGTTATTCCTGGAATCACTAGAAGTGACCTTTGAGTAAACTTCAAGATAATTTCAAGTTTTTCATAAATATAAAAGTGTTCTGTCCTCAGCAGACTATTCTGTACTTTTGCTGCTGCCTAAGTAATTGGCAACACTTTAGTTTTACAAGTATGGTGCACGTAAATGCTGTGCCCTAATCGTGTCATACATCAGAGCAGAGACAGGAAGAGACTTCAGTGTCCTTTCTTCCACTACTGCATCTCCCAAATAATGCTATAACACTTTTTATTAAGCCACTTTCCCAAATAGACAGCCTAAATCTTCCTTTTTCTGACTGAATCTGCATGAACCTTATCCACTGAAGGCAATGGAAAACATACCATGACAATTAGTCTTTCTTCTAAGAATTTTGCACTCTTGAATGCAGCTATTGTATCCTTCACATAGGTTTATTTCTTCTGATAAATTAACTTCTTCTGATTATTTCACTGTTTTGAGTTTTCTCAAGTTTGCTGACATGTTCCATCTGTAACTCAAAATTGAGATGTCCCAATTCTCCATATATTCTGCAACCATAAAGCAATGTTCATAGAATCATAGAAGATCAGTTCTTTCAGTTGTTTGCTCTCTGCCATGACATTTAGTCCTGTTTGACACTGAAGAGGTTTTATGAGAATGTCGAGTCAAGTAGATCTTACTAATCTTCCAGGGAGTGGGATTTTTACAGTTTAAGTTCTTCTAGTGGACAGTGGTTTTGCTGTTCTGGGTGAGGAAGTAACCTGCCCTTGTTTTCTGTAAACTGATGAAAATATACTGAGTAGAAGTTTCACTAGACAATAATGACTGATACACCTTTCTTGGCCCTTTTGCTCCTTTCACTGTCCTGGTGCTGGTGTTGATAGGTGGCTACATGCAGATGTTGTAGCAATGACATGCCAGGATTCCTTAATGCTGTGCCTGTAGTGTGCAGGAGGGTCTTGGCCTAGGGCGAGGCTTGCCTGCTGCTGTCTTGACTTGTCTATAAATGCCTAAAGTCTATTGTTGTCAGACTTAAGCTTTTGAGGCAAGAGAGAAAGGTGAGCTGAGATGGGGACAGCAGGGAGGGGGATTTGCCTGCCCAGCTTTTCTGCTAATTACCCACTACCAGGTGTGATAACACTGTTCACGTTGTAGCTGAATTGTTTTTGAATGACTTTTCCAGTGTTCTGCATTGATATTGATATTGATATTGATGATATTGATATTGATATTGATATTGATATTGATATTGATATTGATATTGATATTGATATTGATATTGATATTGATATTGATATTGATATTTATATTTATATTGATACTGAGCAGTGAGGGTGTGGCATTTAACCTCCTACAGCATCCTAATTCTCAAAAGCCAGCATTTGATTCACAAATTATATTAATTCTCTAAGGTTTATCAGGTCCTTGAAAGAAAAGAACACTGCTTTAGAAGAGCACTTTGGTAAGCACCTGAGCTTACCTGAGCTCTGACCCCAGCTCTGACACTGTTCTTAGTGTCTCTGAACCTTTCTACTTCTGTCTTAGCTGTCAAACGGAATGTGTGGTTCCTTGTGTCACAAGATTGCAATTAGTTATTTTAATGGCATTTATAAAACACTTGAAAAATGTCACATGGGTCTTAGTCTTTCTTTTTTTAAATACTTTCTACTTGCCTTTTGTAGCCTGCCCTTTTCCTTGCAGCTCTTTAACCCTTCACCTAAGTGATCAGGGCAGTATTTTTCCCTCATTGTTCTTGTGCTGTGTCTTTCCCTCTGTTACTGTCACAGTTTTGCACATGCAGACGGCTGGTAGTGTTGTTATAGGAGGTTCTCCTGGATACTAGTGTGAGAATCAGCCCTTTCTACACTGCCTTTTCCTGCCCATAGGTTGTAACTTTAAGTTCAGGGGAACCTATAACAGGCCTGCCCAACACGGAGCAACTAGATGGGGTTGGAAACAGCATCTACCCCGGTCAATATAGGTTCCAAGGCTATCAGACCCACTAGCAGAAAAAAACAACAGGGAGAATGAGCAAGTTACTTGAGGAAAAACATGGGGAGTGAAGGAGACCATGGTGTTCTGGAGAGGGCACCCCAAAGAGGATGTTCATCCAGAGCCTCTTTATTTCATCTATTATCAGCCCCAGGGAGAGCCTTCCCCTTCACCTTCTCCTTTCTCTTCTTGGTTTTTCCTTTTCTCCAAAAGTAACTTCCATGCTTAGAACTGATGTGTGCAATGGGCTATATATCCTGCTAGTAAATCTCTGTGTGTGTGAACCTGTCCTATGTGCAAAACCCATTATTTTAGTAAATGCTTAAATATTATCCTCAAGGATAATTATTATCCTTATATATTATCCTCAAGGTGTGAAAAGGCTACTTAACAGTCAACTGTCCAAGAGTTTAGGATATGCTGAATACCTGTGATGTTTTAGGGTTTTTGGGTTTCTTTGTTCTCTAGGGAGTGTCTTCCATGTTTTAATTGGAACATTTTTCATAATTGCTGCTATTTAGTATGTTTATTTTGTCAAGTCATGGGATGTCTTTATAGCCATATAATAAACCCTAGAGAACAACTTCTCTGACTGTTGCCATCTGCACTGATCACAAGAGCAGCTTAGAAAATACTGACAGTCTTTATACTAATAGGATACATATGGTGGCACACAATTATGTGTGGCTGCATTCAATTAGTGTTGTACAATTACACAGTTTTATTGCTTAGTTAAAACAGTGAAAGCACTTCATAGTGGGCAATTTGCACTAATCCCCATTTCTTTAATTGCCCTTCAGTATTTAAATGCAGTGGAACATGTATAGCATTTATTCTGAATAACATGAGCGTTACATGATCTTTCCCATTCCTTGACTGGCAAGTAACATACCACAGCTTCACACTGGGCTTCTTTTTATATGGAGTTGCAACGGGGTGAGGAAAAGTTACTTTCTTCAGTTTTACAAGTCAACTTAAATAGTTTTCCAATGAAAGTAATTCATAGAAACAGATGAAGTAAAATACTAGAAAATACACAGTATCAAACCTTCTGCATTGGTAAATGTTGCCAAACCAACCTCTTCTGTAATTAGTTTCTAGTGTAGATGAGTCACACAAGGTATGGTCTGTTGAAGGAAGGAACTTACTAATGTTCACTAGGTTAGCACAATGCAGAAAAAGTTTTATAAAAGGTAACTGCATGAAATAGAATACGAAATGCTAATTAGACTGAATCCAGCTCTGATGTCTAAGTGCACACTTTACATTTTCTGCAAGCGAATATTTAAAGCCCTAGTCTCTAGACTTTAATTAAAACTGTTGTTGAAATTAGATTTATTACTGCCATTTCAGAAGAGCACTTTCTTTAGTTTCAGGAACCAGATGTATTTAACAATCTGTGTTTTTAATAAAACCATAATTGCCTTTTTTTTTTCCCGGTGCTTTTCTATAAGCATATCTTTTTTTCTGGCTTAGTAGAAGAGAAATATGAATCCGTTTTAAATTACTGGTCCTCTTAAAGGTCCGGTTGAATTCTTAAAAATAACATAATGAAAAGAGAAGAACTTCGTGTATTCTGAGTGTCTGCTTGTGACTGTATCACCTGGTAAGCAGAGATTCAGGACAGAGAGGGGTTTTCTCTCTAGACATGACTAAGGAGAAACTGGGGGATGGGGGCTGTATAATATAACTAGTTATGAGCTATAGCAGATCCATAGTGAACAGTATCGAGAGACTTCAAGAATTGGTTTTGTACCAAACGAACTGTTCAAGGGTCCCTTGTAGAACTTATTGGATATTTATAAGAAAAAAAATCTATTTTTTTCTTCTTAAAACAGTTGTAGATAAACGTGATTTAGGAGTAGCTGGTCAAGATATGTATTAAGAATGATTTTGGTTTTGATCGAGAAGTATAGTGTCTTCTATTTATGCACAGTTTTGCTGCAAATTGTTGTCAGGATATCACTGTTGGGAACCAGACTACATGGAGCTTTGATTTGGGTTGCAAAATAATGAAGTGATGAATATATACTAAAAGAAGGCCTTCTGTAGACCATTTCTATTTTTTTAAGGTGCCTTTGTAGAAAACATATCAAAATGGGAAGGAAGAACTCAAACCAGCAGCTGAATTTTAGAAAGACTCACAGCCTCGTGTTTAAGTTAGATACATTTTTGTATTTTTTATTTTAAATATTTTTTTTTGTAAGTTTTCAGTGATTACAAATTTAGGGCTGTTCTTTTGCTCTGAACCAGCCTTTAAAATTGTGTATTTTTTACTGATGTTTTTAGTGTTTTTTCTTGTGACTGTATCTTAATCTCCCTTTGTACCCATAAAAACCCATGAAAGATCATGCTCCTGCTGTAAAGACCATGTTTTAAGACAGGATTGTCATGTATATCCATTAGCAGCCCTAACTGCCTATGTCCCACTGATCATGATGGTAACATGCCAGTAAGACACTGGTTGGTGTTTAACAGTCATCCAAGGAGAGGACAGTATGTCTAGGTGAAATAGTCCAGCCAGGTTTGTGTCTTGTGATTTCGACACACAGAGAAGAATCTGGAACAGTGCAGTCACTTTTGTATTATCTAAGTAGTTGAAGTTCCTCTGCAAACCTTTAAGCTCTCTGCAAGAGTTTTTAAACTCAAAACCCTACGCTGTGAATTGGCTGTCAGTGAGGAGTTAACCTCAGAAAGCCACTGTTGGAATGCCATGCATTTGCTTCTGGGTTTTAGTGTCTAGCAAGTGGTATGTCCTTTGTTGGCCAACTGGTGAGATAAGTCTGTCCTGAACACCCTGTCTGTGTTCAAGGGAATTTGTCCAAATTGTCTGTGAATTTTCAAAGCTTACAGAGGAATATGTTGAATGTAAGGAGGAGAAAATTTATTGTAAATATGAAGGAACATTTCAGGCAGTTAGTAAATGATATAGTAGTTACCTTGATGGTATTGTGGTAAACTTTTGAATTTTCCTCCTGACTTAGGTTTATGAACACCAAGATGGAAGCAAGTCCCTTAAGTTAGGGGACTTTGGCCTAGCAACAATAGTGGATGGACCTTTATATACTGTTTGTGGGACCCCAACATATGTAGCTCCAGAAATCATCGCTGAAACTGGGTAAATCACTTTTAGTAATGATTCATTGATGTGTATACAGTGGAGCATATTCTCGACATTGTACCAGATAGGAGTTCTTGCAATTAAGATTTTTGTGCTGCCTTTGCTTGGCTATGTTGCAGAACAATTTAACTGGAAGAGACCTCTGGAGGCTGTCTTATCCAAACCAGCTCAGAACAAGGCCAGCTGTGGAGTTGTATTGGTCAATCTCTGCCAGTTGTTGACCTCAAACTTCTCATCTTAACACTGAGTTACTAACTAGCCATTTACAGATACAAGAAGTAATTCTTAAACTGTTCTCAGAAACTGCTAACTACCATTCACTTAATTTTATTTCATTATCACACACTGTCCTCTTCTGATTTGTTCCACAGAGTAACTGCCTGCTGACTTGAGCAGGCTGTGTCACTTTTGCAGACTTCATGATGATAGGCATTACTGTCTAACTCAAGAATACAGCCAAATTTCTTCTGTGCACTCACACATTCTGATCTAATTATAATTTTAAGATGTAAATGTAAAAAATATTTGAAAGCAGAATTAGGATTGATAGGTAGGTAAAATTCAGATGAGAATGTATAAGAAATTATTAATAATTCTGAATGTTTCCCCTCTCCTTGCACTGTTGTCCATAGGAGTCCGATGTCTCTAACCATGTCTCTCACACTTCTAGATATGGCTTGAAGGTGGACATCTGGGCAGCGGGTGTGATTACTTACATCCTGCTCTGTGGTTTTCCTCCATTCCGTGGGTATGGACTGATCTGTTCAACCATCCTTGTTATGCAAACTAGTCCCTATGCTGCTTTTGCATTAAGCACAGAGATTGCCACTGGTAAAAGTTCTCTGCTCGTAGGGTTTGTTTTTTTTCCTGTGCTCTGCACAGTGTTTTACACAAACCCCATAAATGTCTCTGATTTTACTGTAAGATCTCTGTCTCGTGTTTGTTTATTTTAGTTTAAACTTCATTGTATTATGAAACAAGAGCCTCCATTACAGGTTCTGTGTGCCTTTGCCTGATGTTTTAAATACACAATGAAATAAGCATCTTCTTTCATGGGCCAAACACAACATATTTTGTGGCTGGTAAAAGGTATTTAAAAAGTAAGCCACTTAATAAGGACATGTCAGGTCTTTTATTTCCCTCAAAGCAATTGCAAAGTTATGGGTAATCCTAAAGACTAGCCGGTTACTTCAGAAAGAGTGCACCAAACGCATTGTGTTTTATGATCTCACCATTCACACCCTTGGCTGCATGCTTGGGGGGAATCAACAGCTTCCATAAGCATACTAATGGATCAACAGTTAAAAGCAATTTCAAAAAGTCTATTGGAACCATTTCTGGAAATAATTTTTCTTTGGTTTTCGTTGTTGGTTTTCTTTTGTTTTTACCTTACAGAAGTGGAGATGACCAAGAAGTACTTTTTGATCAGATTTTGATGGGACAGGTGGATTTTCCATCTCCATATTGGGATAATGTTTCTGACTCTGCAAAGGTGAGTTTTATAGTTGCTGATACTTTCTTCTCCATTATTATTTCCAGTGAGAGTATCTAATGCCTGTTGTTCTTTCATAGTGCTGTATTTGACGTCTCATTCATCTCCTGCTATACCTATAAAGTCCTCTGGGTCACCGAGTATGTTGTTGTATGGTTACTGTCTGTTAGACTCCAGGTGGTTCTGAAATGGACCCTGTTCTGAAAGGACATCATATCGCTATGTGATGTTGCACACAATAGAAACATGAGTAGCCCTTACTGATTGAGAAAAATTTAAATAACTTCACTTGACCTACACTTCTTAGCTTGAAAGCTCCCTGGGACTGTGCTTTGTATGGACTTATGGGAAGGACCAAGTACCAACCTGGAGGTTTTGAATATTATGTAATAATATTATGGGGAGGCTGGTTTCCCTTAGATGTTATATGGGTTGTTTCTTTCTGTCAAAGAACTAGGCCTCCCCATTGCCTTATTGTTGTATTGTGGTATGAAATACAGACTTGTTTGGGTCACAGTTCTTGGACTGTAGCCTTTGGTGTTCTAAAGCAGATACGTCCTGCTTTTACAGATATGTGGAGGGTGATCAGGACTAACATTTCAGCCTGTTAACTAGTGAGGTTAATGAATGAGATACAGTCATAGAGTTGGAAGTCCTCTAAACCACATCACTGTGTTGTAGCAGGCTTCATTTCATAGCATCATAATTAGGAACTCTGCAAGTCCTTTGCCAGTGGTGTTTTCCTGTGAAGCTCCTTCTTCCAAATAGTGCAGTCTAAAATTTCTGTTTTGAAGCATTAGCCTATCCATTTAACTTATCTTTGTCACTAAGAATTGATAGCTTTGGTCTTTGTTGATACACCTTTATTTGCTGCCGTGTTGCCATCCTATTTTTGCCATGCACTCCACTCAGTGGTGGAATTATATATATGTTTATTTACATGCTAGTTGAAAACTAGGTAATTGCAGAGAAATTCAGAGGATGAAAAAATGTTTTTAAACGTTGGGGTGTTTTTAATATTTTCTATGACTGTCGAGGATCAGGAATCGGAATGGGAACGATTCCAGAAATGGAAAAATATGTACAACGATTGAATGGACTTTACACATTGTGTGTTTCCCCTGAATTTGTGTCTTCCGGGCATGCCCGGGCCTGCTCACCTCCCTGCTCCTCTGTCTTCTCTACCGATTGGCTGGAGAAGCTGCAGCAGGAGACAGCCCCCATTCGCCCTTTCCTCCCCTGGTCCCTCCTGCGCTCCTCCCCCCTTTTTCCCATGGCCGAATCCTGGTTTGTCCCCCTGCCTGTCTGTCTCCTGCTCCATCCCATGTTCTGGCCCTTTCCCCAGCTGAGCTGATAAAAGAACCCTGAGCACACTTCAATAAATCATTCTACCTGCACCTCACCTTTGTGTCTCGGACCCGTGCTGTGTCGCGGCCCCATTCCCCTCCCCGTTTGGACCGCGGCGTATGACATTTTTACAAGAGCTTAAAGTAAAATTCTGGATTTGCTGGCTTTTTTTCTTACAGAGAAATTGTCTTTTTCCTAATGGGAATCTAACCTAATTTCATGCAACCATCTGTTTTGCACATTATGTATTAAGTGCTTTTCTGTTAAACAGTGGCTTCAGAACTGTAACTCAGAAATGTCTTCTAGCTTTTCAAGGTACGGATAGATATTGATTTAAAAGTTCATCTGGATGTTCAGCAGTTCATAGTTGTTCTATTTTTTAAATAATATATTTCTGCAGTTGGTAGTTCACTCTCCCTTTGAGTACTCTTACAAAATCAGTTAAAGAGCTCTTTAGTGAGTGTTGATATGTTCTTTAAAAGTGTTCTCTAAATTTGACCCAGTGTTCCATTTCTCAGGAACTTATCACAATGATGCTTCAAGTAGATGTAGATCTGCGGTTTTCAGCCTTGCAAGTTCTTGAGCATCCATGGGTTAATGTAAGTATTTTCAGACTTGGAGATGCTTCTTGCAATTTGGCATCTTTGAGCTCTTTCCTGTCAAGTCCCTGCTATGCCCTTTTGAAAGCCAGCACATTCTAAAAATGCCAGATTTAACTGGAAATAAGCTGGATTGCATGCTTATTTAGTGTATGACATGTACCTTGGAGTTTACACTATTATATGCATGCTCAGCTACATTTTCTCTGAAATATTTTGAGCCAGATTTTCAACAAATTTCAATGACATTTGATAAATTTATATGTCTAAAAATCAGCTTGAAGCTTCAGTGACACATTTTGTTCTCCTAAAATCAGATGGACTCAAAAATCTCACAGTCATGATTAAGAGTTACTGCAATGTAGTTCATAGTATTAAGCTACTTGATCCAGAATGAAACAAGGAAACCTTTAGAATCATATTTAGATTCTGATGATAATTAATATTTGTTAATTATTTCAGACTATTTAACATGTCTTAAAATATTTGGATGACAAGCAATAAAAATATGGGACAGTCTATATTCAAATTCAGAAGGGACAACTGAGAAAAGAAACACAATTGGGATGAGCAGAGAAAAAAAATTGAAGGAAGAAGAAATAATGCTTTGTTTTGTCTGTTGCAAGCTTGAGTGTGCATTCCTCGCTGGAATACAATTTGGTCCCTCAGCTGCTGTATCCAAAATCCCTTTCCCACTAAAACACTGTTCTAAAAATTCAAATATACAGTAACCTCAGATGTTAATCCTTTTTTATGAAAATGTCCTCCATGTCATCCAGAGTAGTGGTGATCAGTTAAGCATTTACTAAGTATATGTTTTAGACTTGGAGGCTTCCTTATTGCCCAAACCATTTTTTTTAAAAATTGTAAATGCTTTTATCATGCAGAGGACTTCTATGATGTACAAAGACTGCAGGAAAACATTTGATGAAAATCTTTTCATTTTTAAGGTGACATTCAAGCACCTGAAATACTAACTTTCCTTGATGCCAGGGGCTGTCCTTGAAACACAGTGTTCTGTCACAGTTTATAATGCCTTTTGGTGATTGAGGTGTCTCTGTGTCCCCATGGGAGGAAGATGGGTGGAGATTTCTGGAGTTCTGCAGGGGAAGAGATGGAACTGACTGACCAGAAGCCACAGAGAGGCCAGGTCACCCACAGTGTCAGCACACTCATCAGCACACTGCTGCTGAGATTACTGAAATATCACCTGTTTACACCATTTAAGGATGTGGTCACTTATCTTCACCTTTTTCTGAAAAATATATTTGAAATATTAATGCTACTCCCAGATGCTTTTTTTTTTAATTCAGTTACACCATGGTGTGTTTTAGGAAGCCATTTTACTGCAATATATTAAAAAAAGAGTGCAGCTCTTTGTTAGTAACCTGATGGTGCTGGTGTGCAAGTGACATGAGGATCTGCTCTCTGCCCTCAGTAGTACCTGCTGATGGGGATGGGAGGGGAGAGGGGACGGGAACTAAAGCCTTTCTAACACTCTAGAGCTCTGCTAACAAAACCTTGGCAAATTCCTGGTTTTCTGTGCAATAAGTTAACATGTGGAACCCTTTGCCAGAAGGTGCTGTAGAGGACAAGTATAAATGGATTCAAAAGGGAATTTAATAAATTTTTGGAGGATGAGCCAGTTGGAGCCTATTAAATATAGTGGTCTGGATATAAGTCTTGGCTCACAAAGTTCTCAAGTACTTGGTTGGCAGGAATTAGAGGATATAAAGGGAAAGTTAAAGATCTACTTGTCTTTGTTAAAGGTACTACTTCTTAACGGTGACAACAATGCACTGTCAGAAACAACATACAGTATTCCATTCATCTTTGATCTAGCTCTGCTGCACTTCTCGTAATTTTATGATGGTAATAATTCTCTGCAATCGAACCTGTAGAAGTTTAATCTGTAAGTAAGTGAAACAAATATTCCATGACCTTTCTGTAATTCCTCCTTTTATGCCCAACTGCTGCTTTTAGCAACTGAGACGAATCAGCATTTTGTCTTCAGCAATACACTAAAGATAGTTCATAATGCAGATCAAAACTGCTTTTGAATTCTTCTATGTGTCTTCCAGATATTTTTTCTGAAAGACAAAAAACCAGTGCTGGGACCAGTTCAGAAAAATGCTTGAACATTTTCCAAACATTGCTCCTATTTCAAGGCATCACACATGGAAGCACTTAATATCAGGCATAAAATTAACTAGATGGCACTATAATCCTAATTCACATTAGGAGAAATAAGAACATGGCTGAGTTGAAACAGGTGCTTAAATGATTACATGAAAAAAGGCATTTCCTTGAAGTGTGTCTAGCCTAGCAGACACACTAGAAGATAGCCTAGCACAGTCAGCCTGATGGTGCACCGAGGCAGAATGGTACACTGGTGTTAGATCCAGCTATGCATCCCCATGCCATCACTTGTTTGATCAGGTGCAAGTCTGCCACATAGCCTCCCTCTATCTCAATTTCCCAGCTTCAGGACAGGGAATTAATATACTCATCACTTTTTACAAAAGGTTCTGCAATCTATATGTTGTAATTACCTGAGCAATTATCTGCATGCTGGCTTTCTGAGAAGATATGGGGAATTTTCACCTACATTCCATTTTCACAGGTAACCTGCTTAAATACTTTTTCATGGCATCAAATGCTGGACTTTACTTTCCCTTTCTGTCCTGGTTTCAGCTGGGATAGAGTTCACCACAAAAGTTTTCTTATGTCAGTTTTGAACCTATTCATAGAGTGTTAAATCTGCAGCTAAAATACTAGATAAAAGAGCTGGCTTGAAAAGTAGGCATGTGTTTTCTTCAACAATTTTAAGAAACATTTTCTCTCTTTGATCAAACCTTTGATAGAAGTGTTGTAACTGCTTACACTGTATAAAACCATTTTGTAGATTGTAAATAACCATTCCACTTTATAGCTGCTTACTATGTGATTACTTGGTAAATTGCTGAGATTCCTGGAATGTGCTTTGACAGTTTCAGTAGGAGCAAACTCTCATTTTAGTTTCAGTTTTTGCTATAAAAATAGCTGGAATCCTCTTGGAAACTGCAAAACTTGTTATGGTCAGAGTCAGGCCAGTAAAGCAGTTCCTATGTCAGTGATATCCCAGCTGTTTTCAATTCAAAAAAACAAAACCTGAAAAGATGTTGGCTACATGCCACTGCCACAGATGGAGATCTTGAATTCTAAATGCAATTCAGCAACAGTTCTTTGCCCCCTTCATTTAGTTTATTCAGTCATCTCTCCTATGCAGTACACTTGGACCTGGAAACAAATCCATCTGTTTATACTTCCCCCACGGGGACCTCAGCTCTTTCCTTTACCTGCTCAAAGTCTCTGCAAAGCCAAAGAATT